ATACAGGAGCTGGGAGCTGAGCCCAAAGAGGTCCGTGACTCCATGGGAAGCTCACTTTGGAACATCTTGTTCCTGGACTTCCATGCTTGGAAGAGTGGCAGAGGTGACCTGACTGAACCCCCATTCCCTGTCCCCTGTGCTGCTGTGGTGGAATGTAGAGAAATGGAGAGCAAAGTGATTGGAGTCTGGGAAGAATGGAGGGGTCGGGGCAGGTGTTGTAAGGTGTAGTCATTATGTCTCATTGCATTACTTAGATGAAATGGCAATGAATTAAATTGATTTTTCTTCCCCAAGTTTGAGTCTGTTTTGCCTGTGACCATAACTGGTGCGTGAGCCCTCCCTGTCCTTCATCCTAATCCTGTGTCCCCTTTATTGTGTCTCCCATCCCATCTCACCAGGTTGGGGGAGTGAATGCAGGACCACATGGTCCTACTGTGGGTCAAACCACACTGAGCATCTCTCTTCTTCAGCTGTGGAGATTGTAAGACTTTGCCTGTTCCTCCTCGATCCTTACAGCCCTTGTGCTGAAGATGTTTTCCCAGCCATGGATATGGAAAGCCCTGTGTGGACTTCTCTGCTGGTGTGGTATGCATCAGTGGAAATGGCAGGCGTGGAGACTTATTTTGAAAGAAGGTTTCTTGTGCTTATTGCTACTCGGTACGCTGCAAAGGAGCAGTGTTGGGGTCTGTAGGAATGTTGGGGTCTGCTGTGATTCTTCGTAAACGTGGACTGAACTTGTGCTAATGTACTTGAATTAAAGCAGACTGAGTGTATGTGGCTTTCTTCCTCAGCTCCAATTCCAACCTTTGTGCTTGGCGCTAATGACCAAGAGACCGTGAGCTATTTTCCAGACATCAGTGGCTGCGAATTAGCTGAGAACATCACTTATTTAGGTAAGGCTCCAGGTGGTTTTGGATAAGGGATGTGTATTTGTCCAGTGGTGCTTTCATTAATATTTTCTGATCTTCCCACTTTAAAGCCTTTCCTTTTTCTGGAAAATTTTAAGGTGGCATTTCTTACTCTGGAGAGTGGAGATGAACTCTTATGTTGAAAGGCTGATACATTCTGCTATGTATAATGTGAAAGAACCGTGCTTTTTTTGTTGTTTTCTAACACTGAACTTGCTAACCCAGAGGAAAACTGGTTGAAAGAGCCTGTTCTTTAAGAAGACCTTATTCCCATAGCAAAGCTTGTCTTTGTATGGGGAAGTTTTCCTACTTGGAAGTATGATTTTGCTATGCTCTGAACCTGTACTGGAGTAGCAGAGGTAAGAAGTGTCATCTTTAAAGGTAATGAAGCTGTAGCAAAGGTAAAAGGAAAAAAAGCTGCTTTCTAGAATGCCACCTGAAAAAAACGTTACAAGTAAAGGCACTTGCAATGGGCTTTTTTTACTCAGCCTTCATACCAAGTTTTTGATGTAGACTGATTTTGGGGAAGCAAGATAGCAGTGAGGAGAGAAGACTGGGGGTTGTCTGACAGCTGCTTCACTGTAGGCAGTGCTGGGTTTGAGCTGTTGCGTTAAAACAAGTCTTTACTGCAGTTTATGGGCACAGAAATGAGCTGTCTGGAAGGATAGTTTCAGTAGAAGTGAGGCAGGACTGCTGAATTTGGTCCTCTATCTATGATGCAACTAAGAGATTGCTTGCAATGTCTACATCTCACGTGTATGCCGGTGTGTTCATGCAGGCCGTCGAGGTCTTTACAGTGGCACTTCTGGACTGCAGATCGCATACCTGAGTGGTATCGAGTCCCAGGATGAGCCTGCTCCTGCCTACAGTTTTAGCGCAAAGGATGTGGCAGAATTAAAAACATCTTTGTTATCAACCCCAAACTTCAAAGGTGTGGATATATTGCTGACATCCCCCTGGCCCAGAGATGTGGGGACTTTTGCCAACAGTGCGGTAAGTGTTGGTTTCTGGTGAAGTGGGTTTCCACGTGGATTTAACAAAGGATTGCCTTTCTGCTTGCTGTGGAAATTTGGGCCATCTCTGAGTGCTTGAGAAAGCTGAGAGTAAAAAACTAACAGCATATGTTCTGGTTCTTCAGAAAAGAAGGACCAATGGGGAGGGGGATTTGTGAAACTTCAGGATGTTTTATCTGTCCTTGCCTGAAAAATCAGAGTCAGTAGCTTTCATCTGATCACAAATATTGCTCTGAATTGAGTTGATTGCAGTTGCTGTGGAACAATGCTGCTAGTCTCTGATGTGGAATGCTGTGTTCTAAGCATCTTCAATACCACTTGACATTACATATTTTTTTCTTCCCCCTTTCAAAACTTTTAAAGCATTTTAGTGTTTATTTCTTTAATTATCAGTCAGTTATACTAAATGGTCTGGTTCTTCCTGTCTCTGGATTTTGAGGATTTTGTTTTGTTTGTGTCCAGTTTTTCTGTTGTTAATATTTCTCAGCAGAAGTTATTTTCTAGTCGTAAGTTCAGGTGATCTGAAACCTTCTGGGAGAGCAAGGCCACATACCATGGCAAAAGTTTTGCTTCCTCTCAGTATCTTCTGACATCCCAAAAGAGATACAGTCCTCAGTCTAAAAGCATAAAGAACCCTCCCTCATCTCCCCTGCCCCAGAAAACAACTCCACTAGCCTAGGGAATTGGAGAGAAACAAGTTGTAGGGATGTTCTGGCTTAAAAGGAAAACTTGGGTCTCAAAATTCCCGTGGGGATTCTCTGTAGCAGTTGCGTATCATTCCACACTTGGCTTCCCTTGGCATGAATTTTCTGAGAATGTATAAATAGATTCATAGAATCATAATGGTTGGAAAAGACCTTTAAGATCATCGAGTCCAACCATAAACCAACACTCCCAATCCCACCTCTACCATGTCCCTAAGCACCTCGTCTACCCATCTTTTATCTCCCAAGAAAACTCACTTGGATTAATAGAGAAGTATGTTAATAGTGATTATATTCAAATATGCATCTTGTTGGAGTGTGTACTTTATCACCTGAGGATTTCAGTAATAAGTCTTAGAGATTCCCTCGTGCACTGAGACCCTGAAATGCCATCAGTCAAATAAAGCAGGAAGTTTGAGGAATGAACAATTAGGTCTCTTGCCGTTTGTCACCTGAAGTTTCTTGTTCAGCAAAAGTGGTGTGAGGAGCTAAATTGCATGGATGAGAATTGCCTCCCTGGAGCAGCCTGTGGGTTTCCTTTTCATGAGTTGCTTGGTAGCTCTGGCTGTTTTCAGTGGGGCTGGAAGCAGGCAGCCCTCAGTGCAGACATCACTGGGCTCCCCTTCTGCCCTGTCTGCTGCAAGGGCAGCAGGAGGGAGCACAGAGAGGAGAACTGCTTTCTCAAGGGTGGGCTGCCGCAGTGAAGGGCTATGACAGATGCCTGCTAGGTCAGAGTCTTGTTTCCCATGCTTTTAACAAAGATAACAACAAGGTGACAGAGACAGGCTGTTTCTGAACTTATCTCTTCCCCTGCCCTTTTCCTTCCCTACTTCCCTTCTCAGTCTAAGGCTAATAGGAAAAAGACAGCACAAGAACCTTCATGCAAGGAAATGGTTTGAAATCTGCTCTTTGGTTGTGTTTTGCTCTGACTTCTCAGGGATGGGAGTGGGATAAAATTTTGCTTCCTAAGGAAACCTCAGAGCTTTCCCATTTGCTTGACTCAGGCGCTAAAGCTTTGGCGCTCCAGGCATGTGGTCTAAACTTGTCTTAATGATTTTGACATCTGTTGTTGTTTGCCAAACTCACTCTGTGCTGTCCTGGCTTCACAAGACCAAGAGAAGGAAAATACAACAAACTTGGATTGATGAAGCAAGTGGATGCAAACCCTAAGTACACAGTGTGGAATAAATGAGCAGGTTCTGGTTGGCAATAAGACATCAAGCCCTTTTGACTTTTTTTTTTTCGCCACTTCCAGGGAATGGCAACCACTATGCTTAGTCTCTATTTCCAGCATGTAGTTCTGTAGAAAACTTGTTTCTTTTCACTACAATCTGACAGGTTTTTTTAAATAAAACTTGGTTTGTATTTTGTAGGGAGAAATAGATACCAAGAAATGTGGATCCAAGTTAGTATCTGATCTAGCTGCAAGTCTCAAGCCAAGATACCACTTTGCTGCCCTGGAGAAGGCCTATTATGAAAGACTTCCTTACAGGTTTGTAAAACCATGTGAAATCTCATTTATTTTCTAATTTTCTAATAAGAGTTCAATTTTTTAAGAATACAGGAGGACAA